GGAGAAAGGCAGCCCAGCAACGCCTCCCTTCGACACAGCGCATGAATAAGCAACAATAAACACAACTTATCCCCACAACGCCCCCCCAAGGCTTTTTCTTTCTTTCTTTCTTTTTTTTGGGTAATGTAAACTTCTGAGGTTGGGCAGCCAGCTTAGAAACCTCAACAAAGCCGGGCTTAAATAGCGTCGGCCTTCAACTGCGGGAAAACGCCACCGCATGGCAACCGAGACGGGTAACCCGACACAGTTTTGCATTTGTCACACTGTCTTTAAACAACAACAAAAAAAAAAGCACAACAAAAGACTTTGCATTACTGAAGGGGAGAGGAAAACCTGGGAACGGCAACAGGTTTAGTCCTTAAGGCCTCAACGGAGCCCAAGGTTTCCGTTGCGAAGTGAATTTTGCCGTTTTACGACCTTCCTTGCCCCAATTGCTGCAGTTGTTTTAAGTTAGCAACACGGCGGTTAAGTGATTCCGGCTTTCCTATGGGCTTCAAAGGACGTCGCGAAAGGGGATCACGTGACCCCGGGACACTGCAACCGTCGTAACTACGAGTCGGTTGCCAAGCGTCTGGGCTTTGATCACGTGGACCACAGGGAGGCTGCAACGGCCGTAAGTGTGAAAAACGGTCCTAAGTCCCTTTTTTTCAGCGACGTTGTAAATTGAACGGTCACTAAATGAACTGCTAAGTCGAGGACTGCCTGTATTTACGCTCGGGGCCGCCTGTAATGCAGGGCTGGGCGACATAAGGCAACTTTACGGCCTGTGGAGTTCACCTCCCAGAATTCCACGCTGGCTCAGGAATTCTGGGAGTTGAAGTCCACAGGGTGTAAAGTTGCCCACCTGTACTTACGTGGAGGCTGGGCGGCCTTGCAGACCCCCTGTGGCTCTCCAAAGGAGGGGGGCGGCCTTTCTGAAGAAAGCTAGCAGTGTCCAGCAGTGGGTGGAGCAGAAGCAGCGGTCACCCACCCCATTTGCTCGGGGCACTGAGGCTGGAAGGGGGTCACCGGCCACTGTGGGCAACCGCTGCCAATCCTGGCTCAAGAGGCACAATTCCCCCCTTTTGCGTGGGTGCTTCTGCGACATTGTCCAGGCTTACACAAGTTCCGGTCTTCCTCTCGAGAAGGTGAGCAGGTCCCAGACGGGTCAGCTTGACCGCATGGCTGCCATCATGAGGGATTCACAGGACGGTCCCTGCAAGGGGCAAAATGAGCCAGCTTGGTCTAATGGTCGAGGCGTCAGGTTGGAAACCAGGAGACGGTGAGTTCTAGTTCCAGCTTAGCCACGAAAGCCAGCTGGGCGGGACAATCACCAGGAGACAGGAGTTCTAGTCCTGCCTTAGGCACGAAAGCTGGCTGGGTGACTTTGGGCCAGTCACCAGGAGATGGTGAGTTCTAGTCCCGCCTTAGGCACTAAAGCTGGCTGGGTGACTTTGTCCCACTTTAGACATGAAACTGGCTGGGTGACTTTATGCCAGACATTCTCTCTTAGCCCAACCCACCTCCCAGGGTTGTCGTTGAGGCAAAAGTCAGAGGAAAGGAATATTGTGTGCACTTGAGTTATAAACAACGCCTTAAGTTATTTATAAAGCTAATAAAAGTGGGATTAAAAAATGGTGTCTCAGGGCGGCAGGTCCCTCCTTTTCGGGGAATGCCCTCCCCCTGCCCAACCCCCCTGGTTGCCGCTGGTGCGGAGCCAGGCAAAAGCAAGTTCCTTCACAGCGCCCTCCGTCTGATGTGATTCACACTGAAGGCAGCCTAATTTGCAGGGCAGGTGACTAAGGAAGGGACGTTTCCTTCCAGCGATGAAGCAGCGCCGCCCCACCAGCTCTGCCCAGGAGTTTGCAGCCCTGGGATCGCTTGGTGGTCTCCCATCCCAGGGCTAAACAGGCTGGGCCGGCCGAGTATCTGCACCAGGGGCGGAGGGGAGGGGCTGTGCTGCTCCTCCTCCTGCTCCGCCCCGGGCCGCCCAGCCTCGGCTCCCTCGGGAGGGGCACGGCGGGAGCTCAGACGCCGCCCCGGAGCTGCGACCGGAGGACGGCCACGTGCCAGCGCCCGGGTTCTCCCGCATCCCGCCCCCCTCCGAGTTCCGCCCAATGGGCGCGCGGGGTGAATCCGCCCCTGCCTCCCCATTGGCTGACGATTCGCTCCCTTCGCCGAGGCAGGAGGAATTTAAAAAAAACCGACCGTCCAATGGCGCGGCGAGGGCGTCGCAAGAGGCGTGCCAAGGAGGCGGGGCGGCCGATCCGTCCTGCGATTGGCTGCCAGGGGCCGAGGGCCGAGTCGTCATTGGCCAACGGCGGTGGAACTTCAAGGGAACCCCGTCGGGGGCGTTGAGCAACGCTCGGAACGGCTACCGCGCCTGCGCCCGGGGGTGGGGGGGTGGGGAGGGAAACACCCCGCCCTTTCCCTTCCCATTGGCCGCGGCGGAGGAGGAGCGTGAGGCGAAAGGAGAGCGAGGCCGGAGAGGCCGAGGGGCGTGGCCAGCGCCGCCCCGCTCCCTCCTGGCGATTGGCCCAGCCCGCGGCCGATTGGCCGCGCATTGGCGCGTCCGGCCGGGGGGGGGCGTGGCCGGGCGCGCGCGGGGGAGGAGGAGGAGGAGCGTCGGGCTGGCGCAGGCGCAGCGCGCACACGCACGGCACGCACGGCCGGGGTGGGAGGGCGCGCGCGCGCTCGTTCCGTGAGGGGAGGCCTGTCCCGCGCTCGCTCGCTCGCTCGCTCGCTCCTGCCTCGCGTAGCGCTCGGCGCCGGCCGCGGGGAGGGGAGCCCAGCGCCAGAGGCCCGAGGCGGCCGACGGAGGAGGAGGGAGAGAGAGAGAGAGGACAGCGGGCCGAGCCAGGCCGCGGCTGGGGCCGGTCGTCACGGTGGCCGAGCCGGAGGAGGCCGGGCCCCGCCCCGCCCCCATCCCCCCGGCGGCGGCGGGGGCGGCGGGCCAAGCCTCGCGGGGCTCCTCGCCCTTGGCGGCCGCGGGGCCCATGGAGGGCCTGGCCGTGGAGGTGCGGGGCTCCAACGGGGCCTTCTACAAGGTGAGGCGGGTGGGGGGGGGAGGGAGAAGGAGGGGTCNGGTCGCCATGGCGACCGGAGGGCGGGGCCCCGTCCCCAGGGAGAGCCGGGCGGGGGGCGTGGCGGGGGGGGGAGGAGGAAGAGAAGCAGCCCCGCAGACGGGCCGGGCGAGACCCTCAACTGGTGGGGAGGGGGGCTCCCTTAAGGTGGGGAGGGGGGTCCTGACCCAGCGCCCCCCTTTCCTCCATCCTCTCCCCTTGAAAAGAAGGGGAGTCGCCCCCCCACGTGGCCCCCTTCCCCCGTGGCCTGGAGCGCCCCCTCCCCTCCCTCCCTCCGCCGTCCCAGGGAAGAGGGTCGCCCCCCCCGGGAAACTGGATCCCTTTGGGCTTTGATTGGCAGGGCCAGATGCCCCTCCAGGTGGGCGGGGGGGGCTTCTGGAGGGAGGCCCGCCGTGGGGCTCCTTCGGGCACAGCCCTCCCCTTTCTCCCCCCCCCCCAAGGCCCCTCCTGCCTTGTAAGGAAGAAAAGGGTGGCTGGTCCCTTCCGGGGGAGGGGGGGCAATTGAGGGGCAAGGGAGGCCTGTTGGCTTGACCCTAAAAACCTCCTTTCTTTCTTAGTGAAGCTGCCTCAATTTCCCTTTTAAAAAAGGGGGGGAGCGGGTCGGGGAGCCCCCAGTTTTGAAACTGGAAACCGAGCCCCTTCTGCAACCCCCCACCACCACCTACCTGAGCGACGTGATTGATGGCCAGTAAGGGATCCCATGCTAGAGAAGAGAGCGAGTGGCATTTCCTTCCTTGCCAAACCAAATGCCAGCCCCCTCCGAAGGGCCCCTCTCTGCCCCCTTGCCAGGCCTGGGCATTCTCCCTTTCCTGAAAATGGGAGATTTTTTCAGCCTGGGCTTCAGTCAGCCAACTATAGCTGGACTATAGCAGGGGACAAACCCAAGTTTTTAAACGTTTCCACCTCCGGCTTGAGAACCAGACACCTCTTAGGAAAGTCCTGGATGTTGGACAGCTCCACATTGGTGGCTGCCACTTTCAGACAGTTTCCCCTCTTCAGCGGGAAGAAGACACAGGAGAACGATAAATCCCTGGGTTTAACACTGTCCTGTAATAGCTCCACAGCGCTGCAATCAGACAGGCAGGAATCACATTGGGGAGTGTGCACATGTGTATATTCAAACGAGGAAGTAGGTACCCAGAATGTGCAATGTGGGCCTTGCGTTGGCCTGTATTAATGAGAGATACGTTTAGTGCAGTTCCTGGTTCCACACTGGAGTAACATAACCTAGCTTCTTTTTTTTTTTTTAAAGGGTGGTGGCGGCGGTGGGATGGTGTGTTTTGCTAATTTTAGACACCCCACCTCAAGAGGGAGTCACGCCAGCCCGCGTTGGACATGGAGATGGCCACAAATCAAAGGCAGAAACCTTTGAGGCCTAATCCTTGGCGCTCTGAGCGGAGCAGGTTATTTTCAGCCCGTTTGTATGCGCTGTGCTATGGCATCTTTATCAAGTAAAGTTATTTTTAAAGCCATAAGTTTGCCATATCGCAGTATTTTTTTTTTACCAGCCATCAGGCAGCCCTCAGATGTCCTCAAAAGACTCCGTTTGAGCAACCGGCACTGGGGGAAAAATATTTTTAAGAAGCCGCTTTTACTGGATTCAGAAGACTCTCCGCTTCAATCCTATATTTGTAGCTTATTCTGGCTAGAAGAAGCCATTCTGCCGTATTCCGACAACACGGCAACTTAAAATCTACACCGTTGGCAGCGGTGTTGATCCTAGCATGATTTTTTAAAATAAGCTTTTGTAGCATTGTGTGCCCTGCAGGTGATCTTCTCTACCTGTCTGGTTCACACATTGCGCTAATAGATGAGGTGGCTTGTTTCCCATTGTCCAAGAATGCTGACAAAACTAAAATGAGCCTTTGTGATTCAAAAGCTGTGTCTTGGGCCACTAAAGGTGCTTCCAGATCCTCATTTCTGGGGATACTTTTGGAATCTGTGGCTCTTCCTAATAGGCACTCCGGAGGGGCTTACCACAGAGTTGATGAGCTGAAATCCACGGGAAATTCATTATCCAGCCGATGTTCTGTGGAATAACGGTAGCCTTATGCACTAGTTCTGTGACAGTTGCATCCTTTCTCTCCCTATCGACGCACGTTGTCATTTCATAGGGGAATTTGCTAGCTGGTTCCCCTGTGTACTTTGAGCCCCGGTCTGAAAGGGTACTTACCACCCACCGATCTACTTTCCCTGCCTTTTCCTGAAATTGCCTGCTTTGTTTTGCATCCTCTGAGGCTGCCTTAGGCCAGGGCCAACACGTTAAGCTAAGCTCGCTTGCGTGGACCCAGCCATTGGGGTTTGTGGCTGAGGGTGTGTGTGTGTGTATGAATCAGGAGTCAGTGCTTCGTTTCCCCAAAAGAAGAGGGAGAATTTGTCTAGCCAGGAAATCTGCCTTGTCAGCTGCAGTTGGGAGCCATCCAAGTAGCCCTTGGCTAGGAGGCCCGGGACCAGCTCCAGCAGCAAGTCCTTCCCTGGACTGTGGCTTACATCCGCCCAGAAAGAGGACGCCCAGGGCAGAGATGACTTGGCACCCTTGTAAAGTCTTGGTAGGAAGCCACTAAATGTCGGGGCACGCCTCTCGCCTTCGGTGGCATAACGGCTGTCTCTTCTGAGAGTGGAACTAAGACCTTTATCTCAGCTAGGAAAAGCAGCTGACCCCCCCCCCCCCCAGGCTGAGGGGCTGTGGAAGGGGCAGCCCAGCCACCAGAAAGACTTGTAAGTTGGCCGCCTTGACATCCGAAGCGACGTCCCGCTGCTTAACTGGGCCCGTTGTGACGAAGCTACTCAGTTTGAAACACAGAACAAGCTGGACGGGGAAAGAAGTAATAATAATAATAGTAAAGGTCCCAACTTTACTACTACTATTATTATTATTATTATTATTATTATTATTATTATTATTATTATTATTACTTTCCCCGTCCAGCTTGTTCTGTGGGTGCCAATCCTCGGGGAATGGTCTTCCCCCTTCGTGCAGAGTTTCCCCCCATGAGGTTGCTGCAGGTGTGGCTTGCCACGAAAACAGGGGGCAAAAAACTTTTTAATATTCAAGCAGGCAGCCCTGAGGAACGGCCGGTTGCAGTTTCATATTGCAAGTGAAGTTGAAACCTAAGGAAGAGGCTTCCTGGAACTCTTAATGAGGTGGTCACAGGGGTGGGAGGAGAAGAAGAGCACCCAGCAGTTTTATTTTAGGCCGGCCGCCGCGGGTTCCAGTCGGCAGGTAAAGGAGCGCAGGAGATATAAATACTCCTCGGAGGGTGAGCAACTGGTTAACTCGTCCGCGCTAAATGAATGGACTGATCTTTGACGTGGGAGAAGAGCCGGTCGTCTCGGGCAGAGGACAGGCAGTCCTCGGCTTACGACTACAATTGAGCCCAAGATTTCTGTCGCTAAGCAGGACAGGGGCTAAGTCAGTTTTGCCCCCATGTTACGGCTTTTCTGGCCAAAGTGGTTGAGTTAAATGACACGGTCGTTAACTGGATTTAGTCTCCTCCCCCCCCCCTTGACTTTGCTTGGCTAGAAGGTTGCAAAAGGGGATCACCTGATCCCGGGACGCTGCGGCCGTCGTAAATACGAGCCAGTTGCCAAGCGTGCGAATTTGGACTACGTGACCCCGCGGGGTGCTGCGGCCGTCGTAAGTGTGAAAAAGGGGTCCCGAGTCGCTTTCTTCAGGGCCATCAAGGGAAGTGAGCGCACAAGAGGCAGCTCAGGCCTGCTTTGGTGAGACTTACAGAATAACAGACTCGGAAGGGACCTTGGAGGTCATCTAGTCCAACCCTCAGCTCAGGCAGGAAACCCTATACCATTTCAGACAAATGGCTGTCCAGTCTCTTCTTAAAAACCTCCAGTGTTGGAGCATTCACCGCTTCTGGAGGCAGGTTGTTCCACTGGTTAATTGTTCTCACTGTCAGGAAGTTTCTCCTTAGTTCTAGGTTGCTTCTCTTTTTGGTTAGCTTCCATCTATTGCTTCTTGTCCTGCCTTCAGGTGCTTTGGAGAATAGCTTGACTCCCTCTTCTTTGGGGCAGCCCCTGAGATACTGGAAGACTGCTACCCTGTCGCCCCTCGTCCTTCTCTTCGTTAAACTAGACATACCCAATTCCAGCAACCTTTCCTTTATATGTTTTAGCCTCCAGAACCTCCATATTCAAGTAGCTAGGCACAGGGGTAGCCATGCTGGCTCAGGAATTCTGGGAGTTGAAGTCCACCAGTCATAAAAGAGCCAAGGTGGCCTACCCCTGCGCCAGGGAAACCGAACCCTGGGGATAAACCCTCTTCTAACCAACATTGCCCCCTAGGAGCTGGCTTCCGAGGTGACCAGATCTGTCTTCCTCCTTCCTCTCGCTCCGTGTGTCCCACCCTAAGAGGAGTGGACTTCAACTCCCAGAGTTCCTTGCTGGCTGGGGAGTTCTAGGCATCGAAGTCCACTCGTCTCAGATGGGAAACGTTGCTTTGGCTTTTGTTGGCTGGTGTGGTGACATTCCCTCTCGACAAGCCGGCTTCTGGAGCAAGGAAGGTGGCATAGCGGCCCCTGGGCAGCTGGCAGAGCAGTCCCCCCCCTCAACCCCCCCTCCCAAGCACCTGTTTTTCTTCTGTCACCCGTTGGGCATGCAGGCTGTTTTGCTCGCAGCCCAGTCCACGTCCAGGACACGTCACCCCGTCCCTGGAGGATCAATCCACGATTGCCTCACCCATCTTTGTTAATAAAACAGGTGCCCCACTGGCAAGGGCTGTGGGCAAAGGAGGGGAATCCGTCGTGCTGCGCTTCTGGGGGATCGGTTTGCAAAAGCTGGCAATCCTTTGGCGTCGGGGAAAACAGAGGAATCCAGTAAAGGAGAATCTTTGTAGCTCAGGGTTGAACTTGGGAGGGTCCTTGGTGGTCTCTGAGCCTGGTGGTTTCCTTCCAGATGTTCCAGCTAGGTCAGGGGTAGGCAACCTGGGCTCTTTGATGACTGGTGGGCTTCAACTCCCAGAATTCCTGAGCCAGCATGGGGGAACTATGGCTCCCTCGATGACTTCTGGACTTCAACTCCCAGAATTCTGAGTTGTTTCGAAGCCCCCACAATTGGGGGCCTTCGAAACAGAAGGGTCCTGAGCGCAGAGAGTCTGCGTGGTGGGAGACCCTCTCCAGACCCTAAAGGGGCTGGAGGGAGTCTGGGGGGTGGAACCCCCACCCCAGGCGAGCTCTGGTTAGGTGGGGTTTTTGCTAAGAATCGAGCAGATCACGCAACGTGGTTTACACTCCTAATTGCATCACATTTGTAAAAGTTGTCTATTGTTTACCTCTCGCTGCTCCAGAGAATCATTTTTTGCAAATCATAGTTGCCTGAAATGTTGCTTATGAATCTCTCTGTCTCTCTTTCTTTTTCTCCCCATTTCTCTCTCTCCATCTCTCTCTCTCATTCTCTCCCCATCTCTCTCTTTCTCCATCTCTCTTTCTCTCCCCATTTCTCTCTCTCTCCATCTGTCTCTTTCTCTCCATCTCTGTCTCTCTCTCTCCCCATCTCTCTCTCTCCCCATCTCTCTCTTTCTCTCCCCATCTCTCTTTTTCTCCATCTCTCTTTTCCCATCTCTGTCTCTCTCTCTCTCCCCATCTCTCTCTTTCTCGATCTCTCTTTTCCCATCTCTGTCTCTCTCTCTCTCCCCATCTCTCTCTTTCTCGATCTCTCTTTTCCCATCTGTCTCTCTCCATCTCTGTCTCTCTCTCTCCCCATTTCTCTCTCTCTCCATCTGTCTCTTTCTCTCCATCTCTGTCTGTCTCTCTCCCCATTTTTCTCTCTCCCCATTTCTCTCTCTCCCCATCTCTCTCTTTCTCCATCTCTCTTTTCCCATCTCTCTCTCCCTCTCTCTCTCTCTCTCTCTCTCTCTCTCTCTCTCTCTCTCTCTCTCTCTCTCTCTCTCTCTCTCTCTCTCACACACACACACACACACACACACCAGTGACTCTAGAACTTGATTTACACCAAGCCTTGATTTCCCCAGTGTTGATTCCAGGATGCCCTGACTTCTCTCCTCAGTCCAGCTTGGCGAGGTCTGCGCTTGCACTTAAGACCGACCGAGCGCTTCAAAGGGCAGTAACACTTCTTGTTTTTTTTTCCTTCCACCTGCAGGGTTTTGTTAAAGATGTACATGAAGATTCGGTCACAATATCCTTCGAGAACAAGTGAGTGCCTTGACCCCTCCCCACCCCCCAACATTGCCTCTTGTCACAGAAAGATGGAAAAGATCTGGCAGGAGGGGGAAAGACCCACCTCTCCGTTTAGCGGATAGCTTTGGGCACGGTGACTCAGACCCCTTTCGGAGACCGCTAAGCGTCCAGGTATCCCTGGGCTGTTAAAAAGGGGTTGTGTTCCTGGCATTTTCCCTCTGGCTGGGTTCACAAAACGTGCGAACCCGGACTCAGAAGGGATTCAGGTCTTTGATTCGCTGGGTGAATCGCAGCAAGTTGATAACGCCAATTCGTTGTTAAACCATGATAATGGAATATTTGCTTGGGCACTGTGTCTTATTACGTTTCATCAACCCAGGTTTTCAGCAGCTCCTTCGCTTCCTCTGGTCTGGTCCCCTTATATTAATATAAACTGGTTGGCCCTTTCTGAAAATGGAGCGCGGAAGGCTTCTCTTTCCAGCTTTTGGGAAAAGCCAGCCAGTTCCTACTGGAAACCTTCCCTCCTTGGCAACAGCGTGCTTCTTGACAAGCTGGCCGGCTTTCCACTCGCCTCCTTTTCCTTGTTTTCATTTTTAAATCTTTTATGTTGTGACTTCTGTGCTGCTTCCATTTTTTTGGCCTTATTTTATCAACTCTCTGCCCGTCTCACCGAAGGCAGCTCTGTTTAGCGCACGACAGACGGGTAAAACCAGAGATATTAAAAAAAAACACGTAAAAGTCGCATTGAAAGTAAATATTATGAAAGCAGAGCTGACAGATGTAAATAATTTTATTTTCTGGTGGGTGTTGAATAGATTACGATTACGTTGGTGCTGCGTAATATATAATAATAACAACACAGCTATCGGCCCCGAGCAGAATAATGTCTTAAACCAGACAAGATTCCCAACACTGGATCTTCCTGCTGGTCAGAGAGTCACAAAAGGGGTGGGAATCCCGTGACCCCCTCTGGGAGACTGTTGTAAATAGGAGTCAGCTGCCAAGTGGGGATGCTGCAGTAGTTGTAAGAGTGAAAAATGGCCACCGATCCCTTTTTTTCAGTGCCGTTATGACTTCGCTACACAAACTGTTGTGAGTCAAGGGACCACCTGTGATTAGACTTGGTACTGTGCAACTCAGGATGAGTGGCGGTCTCGGACGGCCCCGGCTTCTTGGCCTGGTGGGCTCCTTAATTGAGGAGAGAGACCCCTTGGGCTGAAATAGCTCAGGGCAAGCCCCACGCTCTGGGGCAGGAGAGGTAGCCAAGCTGTGTCACGGCAGTCAGTGTGCTGGCCTCTCCCCCACGTAGGAATGACACAGCAGCGTTGAGGAGGTGGTCTCAGAGGGCCACCATGCCGAGGCCCCAGGAGGAAGAGGGGGCAGCCTTGGACATTCCTAGAATCTGGAACTGAGCAGAAAGTTCCTGACAGCGAGGACGATCAGCCTGGGGAACTGCTTGACACCGGACGTTGTGGGTGCTCCATCAATGGAGGCGTTGAAGAAGAGACCCTGGATAGCCACTTGTCTGGAAGGGTCTAGGCCAAGGGTAGGCAACCTTGGCTCTTTTATGACTGGTGGACTTCCACTCCCAGAATTCCCCAGCCAGCCATGCCTGGGTTTTTTTCCACCTATCCCTTAAAGTGGAGAGATTGGAGAGGAAGGGATTCTAAGAGAGTAAGCAGGGCCACAATGAGCCTGCTGGCTCGGGCATTCTGGGAGTTGAAGTCCACGGGTCATACAAGAGCCAAGGTTGCCTACCCCTGGTCTAGGCTCTCCTGCTTGAGCGGGGGGTTGGACTAGAAGACCTCTGAGGCCCCCTCCCAGCTCTGTCATTCTGTGATTTCTCTCAAAGCAAATTCTGCATTTGTGAAAAGCAGGGTGGGTGGACTCTCTGTGTGTGTGTGTGTCTGTTGAGCTGAGCAGGAGGGTGCTCCGAATTTGTGGCTGAGCCCCCCGTCTCCTTCGCTGTCACCCTTGCCTGCTCTCTGGCCTCTGCTCTGCCCACGCTTGGGGGGCTCAGCCCCAGGCTGCCTTCCCCCCCCACAGGGAGGAGCAGATGGGCTCTTGCCCAGAAGGGCCACTTTCTTCCAGCCACACCTGCGTCTCGGCCAGTGCCCACCCGCCCTGCTTTCTCCAAGGGGTGGGTGGGCTCGAAATGCTGGCTAACCAGGCCCCCTTGCAGCAGCACGGCCAGTTCCCAGGGCTGCAGGCTGCAGAGGCCCTGAAGCAGCGGTCTGTCCTTGGGGAGGGGGCTCAGGAGGGCAAAGAAGGTGGGCTTTGACTCACCGAAGCCCCCTCCTGGCCTCGCCCTTTGGCCAGCCCCTCCCCGGGCTGACTCTGGTCAGGGTGGGCAGCTTCCACTTCCCTGCCTTTTCTCCCACCCCCCACCCCCCCACTCCTCCTGCTCTTTCAGACTCCTGAATGTGGAGTTTTGATTTTTCAGCCCCGCTCTTTTGTGGGAAATGGGGGTTTGTTCCCTTCAGA